AGGCGGTGGGGAAGGGGCGGATATTTATGGAGCTGGGCGGACCGCTCCGCGCCACGCCGCGCCACGCCGCGCCACGCCACGCCGCGCCTCGCCGCTCTGTCCCGCTCCGCTCGGACAGACCCGGCGCGCTACATTGACAACTGCTCTGAATATCCCTTCACTTCCCCCCACACGCCTCTCCAGAAAGCTGGAAGTGTATGGAAGAAGGGCATTTTACAATGTTAAAATTTTACAGGAAACGGCGCAAACTGTTAGTTTACGAAACTAGCATTTTATTTCGGAGTTGCTAATGCCAAAAACTAGTATGTGTAGCATTTCATTTCGAGGTTGTAATTGCGGCTGAAATCAAATCAACAGCTTTATTCTACTTTTCAGTTTTGACAGAGTGCTATCGTGGAGTCATAATTATTATAAGCATTGGCTTATGATAGACAAAATGGCAACTTTTAGCGTTGAGACACGCGTTCGCAGTTTTCTGATAACCGGTGTACAAAATGTGCTCACAACTGTGGACGTTCTGCTGAATAAAACGGGTACATGTTGTAGTCCAGAAATTCATGTTAATAATGTGTAGCCAACGTTCTTTGCCATTTTCATAAAAACGTAGTTTAGATAGGAGTCGTTTCGCCACGTCTGGAAAAGTTGTTATTATTCAACCTGAAACGCTTTAATAGAATCATGAGTGGGGTGGAAATCTCCAGGTCGGTCTGTTCCAAATTCTATAAAGTGCTTTCTATAAGACGAAATATTCATGCTTTTAATTCGAGTTAAAAATGTTTAATGCGACGCTTAAAACGCGAACATTCTATAAACTGAAAACATGACGTAAGTGGATTTCACTCCATCTTTGTTTGTTTTTCATCGCATTATCATTCTGTGTATTGGATATTTATTTCAATGAATTATTTTAATACTTCCATATATTTTAAATACAAACATTGGACATTTAATTACGTATTAAATGTAGACATCCGGAAATTAGTAGTCATGTGAATTACACGTGTTTCCCATACTACTGTTATGAAGATGTTTGTATAATTTCCGAGTTGGAGAGAAATTCACCCACCTCTATGTACGTCTTACAGATAGTATTTGCTTATTGAATATTATTATCTTATTTACCTTCCTGCACGAAATTTTTGGAAGTTTAATTTTTAATGTAGGTAATTTTACTTCATTTATAAGCTTCCGTTTATTACTTTATTATGATTTTTAGTCCCGAGCCGTTTCAGCTGTAGGTGAGCTGAATGCTTTTGATGGATAGGTGATGATGATGAGATGAGGGGCTGGAGAAAACGGGCAAACAGCGAGGAAAAGACCCGCAACCCGCTTTGTGCCCCACAAATTCCTCACGGATCGTCCGGAGTTTGAACCTCGGTACCGAGAGGTGAACGATGTCTACGATCACTACATCACGGGGAACCGCATTTCGCGCCAGAAGATTGTCAAAATCTAGACGTTAAAGAATGTCGACGCAGATGGTTCGTTGCCATAGGCGTGCGAAACCTAAATGTAAGAGGGGAGGGCAACTAAACTTCTGGGCCCCTCTGATCCTCTTTAAAATTTATATTTTTACATGTCATATTTTTAGAGAAAATAAATAAAGCATATTTTCAAATTGGTTTTGTGTTGAGCCATTTACAGGTTACTAGTAGGTTTGGAGAGAGCGTCTTTCACAAAACTCTCCAAATCATGTTAAAAAAGAAGGAAAATCAGAAATTGGTCATATTTACGAAAATAAATTGTTTTCTTATGTAGAACTTGCGCCTCTTTCTAAATTTAGGCCCCCTGCTCTCTCCTCCTGAGCAGTCTGGATGTTCATTGGACCTTAATTCAGACCTCTTGAGAATTAGATGCTTCTTTACGAAGGCGCTCGCGACGTGAACATCGGAAATATTGACGGCTTTTCGTTCTGCATGGAATCAAGCGGCTTCCAGTAGCTGTAGATAACGAGCTGCATTAACATTAGTCATAAACACTCAGGAACGGCGTTTTTGTTTGTTTTTTCGCCCCATTGCGATTCTATCGCCACTTCCTGTCGGCATTGCAACAGGAGTTGAGAGCTACTGCGGAATGTGGGTGTTGGCTTACAGATGCAGCTTGCGTGAGATTCAACAATCGGGTTGTTATGACAAGTATATTCTCGAGAAGGCGGATATGGTCGATGCAGACGCGCCCGATTCCTGCAGCTCCTTGAGATAAGATATAATTTGTTAACGTTTATTGTCGATATCTCTTTCTTCAGTTTTGACAAAGCCATTTTGTCCTTGTCAATTATGTTGTTGTTTTTTATTTTAAATTATGTTTCTGTTTATTTGTTCGGCTTGTAAGGGAAGTTCATGAAAATAAAAGCTATCAAATCCAATAAGTTTTAAATATAATTTTTCAAATGCATCGCTTTTCTATTGCTATGATTTGTTCCTTAATTGTCTGTGAAAGAACTACAGGTTGTCGTTAATTACTTATTTTTAATTGACTTACTCATGCAAAATTATTTCATTTACGGCTTGTTGGCATATTGTCTTTAAAATGGATTCATAGATATACATGAAGCGTTGCAAAGCCAAAACAACTAAGTATCCAAATTTTCGAAACTCAGGTTTTGACATATTAATATTATATAATTCGATGCCAATACACAGTTGAAAGAGCGATGTTCTAAACATCTTCGAAGTATCTCTAACATCTACCTAGAGATGTCTTTGGTTGTATGCCAAGAATACGAATTCATATCGTTTTCATTGATTTTCCGAAAAATCATATCCGGCACTTAGCTCCCTGGGCTTTGCAAGGCCTCATTAATATACTGTATTATGTAATTACATACAAAAACTACGATTCAAAACATCCCTCATAAATAACATAATTGTTATTGGATATTTTGACTAAATTGTGATTAGTTCGAATTCAGAAACGTTCACTGAGTATTCCTACTTCTTCTTTTACTTCTAGGTATTTTGGTTTCGTGTTATGCATGTGTTTTTAATGTCTTTTTCATAAAAATCATACTGCATGTCATTTTATGTTAATGTTTGGCGTGTGTTTTACAATAATTTGGAAACGTTAGGTTCGAAAGGTGTATTTATCTGAAAATAAGTATTTAAGAAAATATATAATTGAAATAAATGATCGGAAATGCATAGTATGGCGTTCAAGAACCAAGATGAACGAAATACGTGAGTGTCTCTCTAGTTACAATGGACTGGAATAAATAAGTTACTTGATTTCGAATGGACTTTAACATATTCTACATTCTGTAAGAATATTTTACAACCTTAATATTTCTCTTCTAACATTGAGTTCTTTCGGTTCCTCTTGCCGTCGAATCTGAATACTTATTTTTCTAGTAATTCTGAGAGTTATCCTAGTTATTTTCAGCGAACTTTATAAATTGTAGTGACATTTATAGTACAAACATTGTAGCCCTAATAAGAGAAGCAAAACTGCATTCATATCAGTAAAATGCGGTTTTCAGAGCGGCCTTCATGTAAGTAAAATGCGATTTCTGTATTATTAATGAAGAAGCTGAAGTCGGTAGGTAATAAGATAAATAATGAAGAAACTGCACATGGGAGGCCTCTACAATTGTATGACCATCTGCTGCAGCGATAACAATCATACGTGGTACGGAAGTGTACTCTGTGGTTTTCCCGAAGAATATTTTGCGAGATCGTATTTCTCAAGAGAATTTTGTAGTGATATACTATTTCATCTTAAGTAGCAAGAGTACGCGTACATACTATACTTCTTCACTTCACATGTCAACATAAATTAACCAAAAACACTTTCTGGATTGAAATTTATTAGTAAGAACTGTTTCTCAAAGTCATCTAATTTATTTCATTAATAAAATTAACTTTTACTTTCAAATATACATTACAGCTTGTAAAACGAATAACATTAATTAATGATTTTCAAATTGTATTTAATAATGACGTATTATTTGAATGACTAATATTATTTGATTAGACCATGCGTTTTATCGTCACACATTTTCCTTTGTTTTTCAGTTTATTTTATTAATGACCGAAGTTCATGCTACTGTCTTAAATGTATTATGTTACATGAATTTCCTTTGAATGTACCCCGAATTTTTGAAATCTTACTTCTTTCATAATTGATGAGTTAAAGGGAGGAACTAAATAAATTCTGCGTTATTTAAACTTTAGAGAACACAAAGAAATTTAATTCTGAGAAAATTTCAAAATAGTTTGATTACTCTGAAATTCTTACTCTGAATACTCTATAATTATATTGAAGATAGAAAATGTCTGGCTTTGAAAATCAAATTCAACGGAAGTTAACTTCATAGAACTTTGTCAGTGAACTGTAAAAACGTCATCAGAACACGTATTTCATAATCTGATAATGATCATCATATTCGAATGAATTACACAATTTGTTTTTGTAATTCCATATCATTTTCTATACTGATGATATGAATTTCGAGGATGGAACAGACAAATGTGACGCATCAGCTATTGAAAGGGGAAAATTTGGAGAATTCTCGGTTTGTACTGGAATGAGAAACAAGGACTTGAACCTTCCGGAACAGTCAACTGCTTTATCGACTTCAATTACCCCAAGACATGGTACTTGACCCTTGGTAAAGCAGTTATTAAATTATGAAGAACAGTTAGATTAACTTTCATTGAAATGTTTGTATTTGGAACGATTTGATGTGCCATTTAATTCCGAACAATGTATTCTTCTCCAAAACAAAAAACAAAAAAATAAAAAAATTACATTCCGACCCGGTTCAAGTCCCAAACTTCTTGTGGCAATGTGATAATTGTCGTAGCTAAAAACCTGCTTTTGGACTCATGTATGCCATCCTTCTTTCAGGCTACACTCACAACCCGTATAATGGAGTGGTTTGCAACGACACTATACTTGCCACGGGAGTGTTCTCGTCCAAAGAGTTGTGGAGGCTCTCAAAAGGTAAGACCTACAGTGCAAACCAGAAGCTTTCCTACTTGACAGCTTCCGAATTCGAAAATTACGGATCGCAAGAAAACTCTGCCAACAATTCGAGACTTCGTGTTCGATGTGAAGAATATGCTGTTTGGAAACTTGTCTTTTATGATTTATCAATGTGACATTAACCATGAGAAAACTATTCCAAATCATTTACTCTGGCTTTCTATCTCGTTCAGATTACTTCCAGGTAATTTCTGGAATCCATTCAAAAGTACAACACATTTCTGCTGAATACTTTCTCCTAATTCTAATCTTCAAGCCATTACAAATTAATTTAAAACTTAAATCGCGGAGAAATATTGCAAAAAAAGGAAATTCATTTTCATTTTTTAAAAATTTTAATTCAGCTCTTTGATAAATTTCTTTTTCAAACAGAGAAATTCTCTGATTAGAATATGATTCGATTTAACTAGAAAATATATATAAAAAAATAAGAGTTAAGTTGACTTCGTCCTTTTATTACATCTTACATATTATTGGCTCTGTATTCATTCTATGCAAAGCTGTCAAGTGAGATGTATGGTTAGCTCTGTGCCTCCCCGAAACGCATAGCCCAGACTATGGTTCTGTCCTTGCGGTTTCGATGGAGTATTGGCTTTTGAGCTTTGACACTCGCGCGTTCCCCTGTTGTGGGATGGTTGCACGAAGCAGTTTCTAGGAAAGGGCAGTTTCTAGGAAAACGTAAGCGTTCAGAACTATGACGGAACAGCCATTGATTTCTTGCACTAGTTTATCAGTGGTAGTCATTCTTTATTTTGCCAATTTAGCTTTCCGCACCACTTACTCCTACTCCACAGGCGTGTGTTAGCTTTCTCATTTCATTTCGTTCGACATGTACGCACAAAACCGGTGGTCTCATAGACTTCCAGAACCGGGAACTAGTTTTCCTTCGCATGGGTAAGCAGTAGGCCAGAAATACCAAGTAATTGGGCAAAAATTGAGACATTGTCGTTAAATGTTTTTGGCGATTACATTGTTTCTTCGAAATGTAATCCATTTCATAAAGGAACGATGTGGAAAACAAAAAAAAAACATGTACACATGTAAAATGTCGCACAACATACTTCAAAATCTGTCGGAGCATGTAAAGGTAAGGTTTCACTTTCATTTCCTTTCGACGTAGTCGGAGGTGATTTGATGAACAACATACATCTATAGCTTCGAAACATTGGTGGCATCAGCAACTATTCCTATCTTCTTTGTTTTAGCGGGGTGAGTGTGCGATGTGTAGAATAGTAGTTAAAAATCTCAAACCATTTTAAAAACCTCGAAAAATATGTTCAATATAGTCGTTTTTTTCCTATGAGTGGAACATCTTTTTGGCAATAGACTGTAACGAACGAATTCACTCTCTTTTGAATGTCTGAGATTTTGTGTGCATTACATTTTCAACGCACTGCTATCTAATTTATAATTTCAGGTAGGAAAATTTAGTCACGATTTTTCCTCAGTGTTAAACATTCTGTGTTAAAAATCAAATATTAAATGAAAAATAAACCATTACTAGCTCTAAATGTTCCGTCTTATATTCACCTTTGCCGTTCTCAACTGTGGACGCTAAAATTCGTGAGTGAAAAGTGAAACTTCTGCAGCCTCCATTATCGTAGCAAGCCTAGATCTTTCTAATTTGAAACAATTATTAGAATCATCACGTTTTATCTCAAAACGCCAGATTTGTAAACAAACATTAATTTGTCGAAACGGGCCTGGTTACTTGCTGTAGAGCGTTTGCAGGTTTAGGAACAACTTTACGTGTTCACGAAATATCTTCCCAAACAAAATTAATGAACACTTACATTTGATTCGATTTGGAGTCTGCTACACTTAGTCGAAATTCCAACACGTTCTCGTAAGCATTTTATTTGCATACATTAAGGCTTTAAGCTGATTTCGTACTCAGTCCACCGACATATCGCCGTTACGATTCCATCATCAAAACCAGCCAGGACAGGTTTTATTTAAGCAGAAAGGAAAATTGCATTTCTATAAATCCGACGACGGCGGGCTTCACAAGACACTTTTTGTGTGGCCGTTTGTGTCACCGTTCAAGTTCTATATTTGCGTCGTTTACGACCGTCATTTTCTTCTGTACATTAAGACTGTCTACTTCACGATACAAGTAACATGCGTTATTCAACTTATCTCATGCGAGTTTATTTCCTTGAAGTAAATCTTAAACATATGTTTGTTTTTAGTTCTAAGAATAGAAAAGTAGAGCAGCAGTAGCCTCATTTCGGTCCTTCTAAACGGCAGAAACCAATTCATTTCATATGCTTTTCTTTCCATGAAATCTCATTATTATTTAATATTATTTCATTTTCAGTACAGACGAGTACGAAAAATGCTAATGTTAAAGGGGAGGAAGGATTTTCTTTAAAACTGATATCCATAATGTTCATAAAGATTTGAATCTATGGTATATTCTGAATTTCACTCATCTTTTCTGAAATCCTTTTTAAATTATCAAAGCGGAAAATGAAATTCTCTTTTGTACGGTAGTAGGCACATGCGAAACGAAATGCGACCAAAGTAGTACAAAGACCACTGTGCTTTATTCCAACATCAAACTTCTGGAGCAGATGCATATACATGACATTTCTAACATATTGCCACTACCGCTATCAATGCCCCGTTTCCAAAACATTCCCTCAACCATCACCGATTCTCCATCACATCATTATTATAAAATTCACTATAACTGACAATACCTTGGTTGTTGTTACCACCTCCGTCACCACCTTGGAGATAGTATTCGTCATTATCATTATCGTCATTCTTATCAGAACTCTCTAGCCATCTTAGCTGTTTCTCTCCTTCATTCGCGGTAAGCATTCTTTTCGTTAATATCCCATAACAAGATTACCCGTGACCATCACCATACCCATTAAACACTATCATCATCTACCATCTTCATCGTCTTTTTTCTAAACACACCAACTTTAGCTCCCGTTCCTCAAGATCCAGTTCCACAGTGCCACACTCAGCATCAGTAGACCATGCCCCCAAAACAACGTAACATTACTAACCCTACCACTAACATATGCAAAACCACTCCCTTCTATTGTCCTTACCACCAATACTTTCAATATGTGTGTCTACCACCGACCACCTTAGCCCGGTCCCACAAGCCCATAACTACAAAACAGTTTAGATTTAGTTTATTTAGACAAAAACAGTAAAACTGTGACGTATGGGGGGAAGACCATATGGCCAGTTTGATCGCTCTTGGCCCTAAGAACACTACCTTCAATTCTATTGTATTGTCATAATCCTTCTTAAAACGATTCTCAATCACTAATAGTCCCGCTACCGGCAATGGTTGCTGCTATACCGTTATGTCAACGCTCGACAATGAAGCGTATTGGAAGGTCAAGGTTTGATCTCGGTCAGGTGTCAGTAGTTTTCTTGATGTGTTGATTATCAGTGTGTTTGTGGCGCCTGTGATTATAGCGTTCGTAAGTTTAAGCTTGCTCTGATCGGTGCTTTTTCGTAGATTTTCTCACTTCCAGGCGAATGTACTAGGTGCAGCACCCTTCACAGAGGGTCGTGGGACTCGCACGATCTTCCACTCATATTCTCTCCCTCCTTTTGCCCATCTTCCCCAATCCGTGGGGAAGTACGTCCGATACCTTTCCTCATTACCGACGTACGTCGTCGACGGGAAATCATTTGGGACCCACATCCTACAAGGCATTAAATGTGTCTAATCATAGCTAATACCACGTGCGCATTGAAATTTGTAAATTTCCAATGCACGAGTGTAATTAGATAATACTATTCCACGAATGAAATGACCTCGAAATAATCTCCGAAATGCGCCGAATATTAATTTTATTGCGATCTCGTTCCAAGTGCACAGCGCTTCCTATGATTGACGTATCCCTCTTTGTGATTGACCAACAGAGAGGAGATGGCGAGAAAAAGTGTCATAAAAAAGCAATATTTGGGGGAATTCGTTGTTGTATACCAGATGTAATGTTCAACGCTATTAGGGTTAATTTGAGGAGTGAAATAGGCATAATAGTCTCGTTCACAAAGGCTTCCACAGGCGGAGCCCAGGAGCTATCTGAGCTGTCTGATAAATAGCACCTTCCGGCATGTTAACCGGAGACCCGCGCGTCCACCATCCTCACCGGACGTGATGTTAATACGCCTTCACGTAGGGCACTACGCGCTGAAGAAACCAGCTGGAAGGCGATCGAAACGTCAACATTGCTCATAAAGTCAGTCCAGAGCTCATCAATCCTCTGCGTACACCGTCCCCACCGCCATGGCGAGTCCCACCCCGTCCTCCTACCCTGGCTTCCGCGCTGCGGTGCCCCGTCCTCCCGTCGCAGATCCTCACCTCCCACCGAGGATCGAT